ATCCTTGTGCTCATCCCAGAGCTTCATCTGGTAGTAACTGTTCAGATGATCAGATTTGGTCTTTCAGCTAAAGTCAGTGTTGGAGAGGGAGGCAATGCTGGGAGAGGAACCTCTTCTACATGTCTGCAGCAGCTCCTGAGGCAATCAGTGTGAAATGCGTGCTGCTTTTTGAGCTTTGCTTGATTTGAGATCTTATGCTTTAGAAGGAAGTGCCTCTGAGTTTTTTCTAGGTTTAGTTTAGGATTTTTATGCTTTGTGTTGACCACAGTTCTGCTGACAGAAAAGGTAGTGGAGAGCTTTGGGCCCCACTCAGCGTTCCTCACACATTGTCTAAAGGACCATCACAGTCGTCCTCAGAGAACTGAGATTTTACAGAGTGATGTCTTCAGAATGTTCTCTCTCTCTTTTTTTTTTTTTCCCTTTTGTCAATATGCATAATATTGTTAAATACTTCCAGACCCATCTCGAGGTATTGCAGCATTTATGAATCACACAGATAACGTGAGCCTCTTGCTTTACTTGCCAAGAGTAACAGTGACACCCTGTGGCCAATTAGATAGAAGACTTGCACCGAATTTCCAGTACGGTTTTCTTCCAAATTTGCCTCTGAATTTCTTACACCCTGGAGAGTATCACCAGAGGAATCCCTCCTCTACTCATAGGAGGGCTTCATCGATTTGTCATGCGTCTCTCATTAGACGTTTCCATTATTAGAATACATGTCTAATGAGCACTTTAATTCCAAGATACAGAGAACACTCCTTGACCCTGATGTCTGAATACTTCAGAATAGGAAATGTAGAAACTGAGAAAAGCAGAAAATATTACATTTCAGTTTAAATTAATGTTACAGGAATAGACTGTTCATTATTTTTCATACTGTTTTTCTCTAAGAGTAAAGAAACTCTCCACTGAACTATGTCTGTATGTAATGACAAAATACCCACAATATAAAACTCTACTACCTTAAACAACTAGATGTGGAAGTTAGGATCATCCTTTTAATTTCTTACTTGCATCTCTACTTTGGTTTGCTTCATGAGTCCAAATAACACAATTGCTGTGTAACTACTGACATAATTCTGTTTCCAGTTACATCCTTCACTGTGCAGTACTATAGTTCTACTGTGTTATGACATGCTAATGTGAAAGGCAGGTACCCCTGTTGAAAACTTGTAATGAGTTTATCCTTTGACACTTCCTATGTCATTCAGGCAGTGTAGCTGACTGAATAGTATGGTCTGCACACTGCAAGTGTTTTAAGCCTCATGTATGCTGAATAGCTGACAAAAGAAAGATTTTAAAACTTCATGAGAGAAAGTGGTCTGCTTTTGGCTCTTTTTGGTTTTTTATTGTTGGGTGTTTTTTGTTTGATTGGGGGTTTTTTTAGGGATGTAGGAAGGAGAAAAAAGTTTAAGAGATATTGGGCAACGATCCCTGTGAAACTTCATCTAAATCTTCTGTAAAATGCAGATTGCTTAAAAACAATTAATGGACATGGAGGGAAGAATTTAATAAATTAGATTTAGTGTCCTCTGTGCTCGAAATTCAAGCCCATTATGTCTTGTCCTATCAAGAGTCCATTTAGGTTAGGTATTGGGGTGGCAGGATGGTGTTTTTAAGCATTGGAATAGACTGCATTAGTCAACAGTTTATTCTTGAAAGGTTTTTGTAAGGAGGTTAGACTAGTGTGTATGACAATTTTAGGTAGAGTTGGCCCTATCTTGAACCAGAGAGATGGAGCAGATGGCTTCTCAAGGCTCCCCCCAGTCCTTTCTTCAGTGACTTTATGGTTATGCCAGTGAACTTTGTGTTTTAAATAGTATTTTGTGCATATTCAGTATTATACTTTCCCAAATACACTGTCTCGTGCTGTTTGCTTGACTGCCATCCAGAAAAACACTTCCCCTTCTCACTACCTTTTCCTATTTGTGGGTTCTGGCAGACCTGTAGTCCGTGCAGTAGATAGTGACTCAAAGCATGAGTACTTATATTCAACAAAGATAGCACATTACTTCCACCATCAAAAGCCCTGTGTATCCATGAAGGGCTGGCACACAGGAATGCTACTGGAGAGCAGCTTGGAAAGGAAAAATAAAGGGGCAGCTCCACTTTCAAGCACAGCTCTTTCCTTCTGTTTGGTTTTACAGGATCTCTACAGGTCAGTTTTCAGAATCAGTTTCCACTTTGCAAAATCAATCTTTCGTAGGCCATTGTCTGTAATACTGTCCTCCTGGCTCCATATTTATTTCCCTAGGGCCATGCTGTTTCTGAGGAGAGGATTTTGCCATACAACTTTTAAAAGATTGAAAGATACAGAGACTCTTGTTCTCCCTTGAAGAACTCAACTATTCCCTGTCAGAGATGAGTACTACTGGACAGACTATGCAGACAAGACATTGTTGACCTATTAAAAAGCACAAACAAAAAAAAACCCCCAAAACAAAACAAAAAAACCTCACCACCAAAACACAACAAACCCAAACACTAACTGAAGGGAAAACAAAGCAATTTATTTTTCCAAATTTTTGAGCAGAGTAAAATGCAGCAGGCAAGTAGGGAGCACGAATTGTGACAAATCAATTAGTATGCCCATCCTTGTGGGTTCTGTGTTTTGTTTATTATATTATTGTTATATATGCTCATGTATTATTATTGCTTTCAGCTCTTTCAGAAATCTTCAGACCTGTTCTGTGGTTCATCAGCTGGTAGCTGCTCTTCCTTGCCTTTGCCCATGCAGCTACCGATCTATCACTCCACTCTTCTGACTGACTCTCTTTCTCTCTTACTTCTCCAGATTTTTCAGTCTTTCTTCACATTAGTTTTTTCCATTCCTCAGTTTTTCTATAGAACCCTCTTGGTCTGGAATATGTGACTTCCTTTTACAACTGACTACTTAGAGCACTGTGAAAAGGATGGACGATGGGCAGGCTACACTTGAGTGTGTCTGTTTGTACATCAAGGCCTAGCTCACCATTTCTGTCTCTTCCCAACATAACAAGTCCCAGTAACCTGTGCCTCCCTCCATATAGCACTTGATATAGTCTGAAGGCACTGCTTGACAGTAGCTCACATTTCAGTATTGTTTTATTTCAGCTTTTAGGTATTTGCTGTCGCTGAGACTTAGGAAAAAATATTTTCAAAACAGCAAAAGTAAAATTAGATAGGGCTTTATGTGTTGTTTTATCTCTGAATGAATCACACGAGATTTTTGCAAGAGAAACATTTTATTAAAGTCCTATATAAATAGTTTCTCTGATTCCTTGTATGCTGTTCATATCATACCAGATTCTCTCAGGTGCAAATTTCCAGTTACAGAAGAAAAAACAATGCTGGGTTTTTGTTCCATCTCCTTTTGCTTTTTTCTTTGTTCTTTTCATTTTTGTAAAACACCAGTGATAGCTTTTCCACTGAACATGGCCAAATATTTAAGACTAGATAAGAAAACAGACATGAAGAAAGAATGAATTTTTAACACAATTCTTAAGAAATATCTGTAAGCGTTCCATAGTCTCCCTTGAGTGAACTGGGCTTTCCACTTAGCTGCCATTGTAAATATATTTCACAGCACATGGTTGATACAAAACAGGAATAACAGAGGCAGTTTTGTTATCAGACAGCACTGGAAGCTGGAGTTGCAGAAACTTAATGTATCTTTAATACATTAATTTACTTTCAACTATATAGGAAGTAAATACAAACTTAGATGCTAATCCTGTAAAGTTATATACGTTTTCTTGATTTTTACATGCTACACTGTCCTCCTGAAGTTAATGAGTTTAAGTTTTGAGATCAGTTTTTTAAAATTTATTTTCATATGGTGACCCTCTGGGCCAAGCCTTACTTTCATGGAAGTTATGAGGAATTGGCCACTGATTTTTCCAAATAGGAATATGGTTTTGCAATATTGGCCAAAATAAAGGTCCATTAAAGAGAGTGCAGAGACATCATATTAATTTATTTACGTTAACAGTAATGCTTGTGTAAATCAGTAGTATTTTTGTATATGCATTACTGTTAATAGTATAAATTAATAGGATACTGGATGGAGTGGTTTATTCTTCATGAGTGCTTAATCCTGCATGACTTACAAACATGAAGAGCAATATCCAGCTATGAATGAAGATGTAAACTCAACTTATATATATTTTTTCCTGTCTAGATTAATGCACCATATGGTTGCTGATTTTCATTAGGTAATCTGTTCTGGGAATGGAAATAAGCACCATCATTATTTGGATAGTGTGAATGCAATTAGCAATTTGAATCTACTGAATTATTAAAGCCTACTTAACTTTGAAGAATCAGTTATTTTACTTCAATGAAAGTTTCTAAGCAGATAATAAACTGCATTTTATTTTACATTACATTCTCCAGACTATGTTAGATTATCACCTTCTCTTTTGTTTTCAAACCTTTTGAAGTTTTTACCAATACAATGAAACGAGTCACAGGAACACATGCCCAGTTATAAAATACTCTATATACATCTTTTAGCTTGTCTCAACTCCACTTGGTTATTAATTTAAAAAGGTCACAAGATTTAAGACTGAGTTAAGTTTCTTACATTGTTCATGAATCATCTGAGTCTACAACTACATTATATAACACTACTTAGTTTACACATACACACACACGGAGGATATTTGCAAAAGTAAATGAAGATTTTTCTGATGGTATCTTGGTTTTGAAAATTGGTCTGTTTAGTGCCAATTCTGTCTCCCTAGGAAGTCAATAGTGGAGAAAGTAACTGTAAAAATGTCTGACTTCAATTAAGTAATTTGTATCAAGGTGGAGAAACTTGTCAAACTGATATTAAACAAATAATATCAATTTGTGTGGTGGTGGTTTTGGGTTTGGTGGTCTGTTATGTTTTTTTTTAAAGGGGACTGTGCAGGTCCTTTATGTATATGTATAAAAGCATGTGTCTGCCTGATCAAGGCTATGAAACTGGGGAAGCACTGAAATGCCTTTAGCGAATTGGGTGCCAGCCTCACAGATATATTACTCCAGTTTTACATGGTGGTTAATCTCCTGAGAGCGACTAGAGTAGTGCAGTGGCAAACCAGCACCTCAGCCCATAAAAGCTTGTCATCAGTTGATCTATGAAGAGCTTGCATTTACCACTTCAAGTAAACATACGGACCTGTGCAACAGCAGCATGTCATCTGGTACCTGCATTTAATTTGGATTACAGACTGGAACAATAGTCTGCCTATTTAGCCAGGTAAACATTAATCTCTCAGACAAAATCTTGCAGTCATGGTCTGGCCTCTCCCCATGTTGGAACCTCCTGCTTCATTTGGTGGATCTGCTTCTGTAGTTCATCTCTGTCCAGCTTCATTTTCGCTTCTAGAACTTGCCGTAGAGACCCAATGCTCTCATAGATAGCTGCAAATCCTAATTGCAGGTGAGAATTAAATTAGTTCATAATCAAAAGCAAGAGTATTGTGTAATTACTGTCAGAATGCGCTTCCTACCATGACGCTCTGCTTTACACTGTGAAGATAGCAAAAGTTACAAAGAAAAACAGGACTGTAATTGTGTGCTGATGGCAAAAGTGCCCCTGATCACAGCCAAGCTATGCCTGTGTATGCTCTGGGGAGAACACAGCTAGTAAGATGTCACCTCTTGTTGCTGTGACTTTCACACTTAGTGAAAATCTTTTTTAATGCCACAGGTGCAGGCATTACATCTGGCCCAAAAGTCTTAAAACTACTTAGATACAAGCAAAGGCATTTTGCATATTATTATAGGTCAGTTACCACAATTCAGAATAAAGAACTTGATAACTATGGTCCTACCAGCATTAACTTCAGCTTTCATTTCTTTTATGTCTTCATTAATCTCATTTTGAAGTTTGCCAATGCGAATGTTTATCTTTTCTTCAGTGTGTTTTGCTTCATGTGCTTCCATGGTTATCTTCTGTATTTCTTCTATTTTGTCAATTTTCTCTGCCATTTGGTTGAATTTCATCTCTATAGCTCTTTCACTCATTTCCTGGAGCCAGGAAAAAGAATTTTAATTATTTACTCTGCATATGAAATTACAGTGGTCTTTTCCAAATATGCAATAGATATTGATTAATCATCTTTTATGTGGAATTCAAAGGTATAAGGAATTACTTTTTATAAAATGGTTTAAACTGAGTGGATTACTGTAGATCTATTTAGAAGTGATCAGATTTGTTTGAAGATTCTCAGGCTGTGGGAATGTTATACTTGACATCAGTGAAAACAGTTAAACAAATATTGAGGAGGTCTGAAAAACTCGAGATCTCAATTACATCATCTTAGTTATTAATAATGCTTTTGAATGTTTCCTGACAAGTACTATTGGGACATTTTAACAGAACTTACAGTGTTTTCCTTAAAAGTCAGTGAGAGTTGGTCAATTTTTTGCACAAGCTCTTTTTCAATCCTTTCATGTTCCTGTTCCAGCCAGCTACGTGCAGACAAAATCTGGCTGCTGAGTTCCTCAATAGCATTTTTTAACCTAAGAGCATAATGGAAATTAGCAGATACAAAAGAGCAGGAGTTTTGGTTATTCAGCAGTGACATATTTATGGTCATGTTCATTTAAAAAAAAATAAAATAAATTTAATACATTCTTGACACCATATTAAGGTGAATCTTTGAACTTTAAGGTCACTAAACTGGATAAAGTAACGTTGTTTTGGAAAATAAAGATGAAAGAGCTCAATAAAACAGCAGTTATTTACATAAAAAACAGCATTTTGAGGCACAGTCAATGCAAATTCTTTGCAGCATTGCAAACAGAATATGGTCATCTGTTCAGATCATAATCTTCGTGTCTGTAGGTCTTAAGTCTGAGCAAAGATTTGGTACCCATTTATTTTAGTCACAATGCCGGTTCATGTAGCCCCACTATGTTGCCTATACCCACCTCAAGTTTACACCAACCTATGTGCCAGTGATACTGTTTCTTTAGACAGTCTCTTTTCCAGTGAATATTTGAAATCTGGATCTATTATTTTTTTATGGTTTGCAAATAGTTCTACTGCTGTAAATGATGGGATTGCATGAGGATGGCAATAAGCAGTAAGGAATAAGGATGTGGATGACCTAAGCCAGGGCTGCCACTGAGTGAAATGCCTGGAGAGGAGTTAATATCTGAATTAAATAGATCTCTGTATAATGTCTAGTAGCACAGCAGCTTATCATTAATAAATTAGGTATTTCAGTTATGTATTTGTATTTAAAGCCAATTTAAAGCAGTAACACTTTGTGAATGCTGTGCCTTGCTTCCTGCTTGCTTGAGTTAACTTTTTGCGCTGCTCTCGACAGCCGCCTCCAGCGTTCATTGCTTCCCACAGTTCTTACAGAAAGGTACCAGGCCAGTCTTACAAAAATCTTTAGCTGTGTTCTTTAGTCCAAGTTCTGCCTGAATACTTAACTAGGGACTTAATGGGCTTTTCAAAATTGCCTGACCACATTAGGGGCAGAGTAATTGTTGAAAGCAAGTTCCACGTGACCCGACCATCGTGCTTTTTTAAATATCTGTTGAGCACACATACATATCTGAACAGGTTCGTGCTTTTGTGGGCTTGAGGTTTACAACAGTCAAACTTGGCAAATTGAGGCCCTGTCTCCCAAGGCGCATGGGAGCAGCGAGGCTTCCCGGGCACTCACTTCATGTCCAGCAGGTGGAGCTGTTGGTTGCTCTCTTTGTAGGCGATCTTCAGCTTTGCTTCTTGCTGCATTATTGATTGCTCTACTCGGCTCAGAAGATGAGAAATCTGAAACAAAAATTCAGAAGGTACTATTTTTCAACAGCACTTCATCACAATTTCATTTGGGATGTTTTCATAACACTAGAAGAGATCTTAAAGAAGGGCTGGTTTTGCTGACATTTCAAAAATTATGGAATTTGCACATTTTACTTTGTCATGAAAGGTATGCTGTCTCTCAAAATGAAAGTATCATCATTGTGAAAACTGTAATTTTTCAGCCATAAGTAATTTTAACAGTCTTTCCTTGAAAGTATCTGCCTGTTCCCCCACCTTGTGACAGCTGAATTTACACGATCCGTATGTCTCCATGTTGTCATATAAGCAGAGTAAACAAATGGCAAAGCACTCCACCAATACCGAGTGACACTCTTCATCACTTCATGTATGATGGCTGCTGCAGTGATAAAAGTGCTGCGTTTAACTGGGCATAGGTCATTAATAACAGAAAATACTTCTCACCAAAACAATCATCCCAATTCTGCAAAACATACTGTTCTGTTTTACAAGATTCATGATTATATGCTCCTAGCATGCTGGCCTGTTGATATACTATACTGAGTCTTCTGAGAAAGGTAAAGTGGATTTTAACCATTTACCTACTGCAAAATGAAGATGTAAAATACTTCTGATGCCCAAGAAAGTGGGAAGGCCTCGAGATGGAGATAGGAAGAATCCTTTTCCTTAGTGTCATAAGCCTCTGCTTCTATCTAGTGCTCACTTGCATTCTTGTAACCAATGGAAGAGAAACCTGATGGACAGATTAGTGGATTCACAGAATCCCAAACAAGTTTTGTTTTGCAGACCTTCAAAAATTTTGTTCAAGTACATATAAAATCATCCTGGGAAGACCAAAACATACAGAGAGAGATGCTGATGCTTGCTTGCATTGTTCTGGTAGTTTTGTGGGGCACCCATGTCACATGCACGTTCCAACCTCGAGAAGCCCTTCAGGCCAGTAATTGCTGACTTTTGTTCATTCCTGGAGTCCTTTCAGGTGCCTTTAAATACTAGTCTCTTCTACACAGAATGATAAAGGCAGCAAATTAAGGACCTTTTTTCAGTTACATCAGTGCAGTAATGAAGCTAGGTACCAATATTCAGTCTAATAAGGACTGTGAGCCGTTTGTAACTATGTGGCCTCCCAGGATAATAATTAACAGTAATGGATTCTATGTGAATTACACTATAACTCTTACCCATACATGGATCACTGTGGTCCAAATACCATACCTGTATTTCTGCCTCTTTGATTTTAGATTCTAAGATGAGCTTGGAGGTGTGTTGGTCTTTAGTTAGGCTTTGAAGTCTTTCATACGTAATTTTATGCTCTGCAGACAGTCTAGCTAGCCCAGCATCACACCTGTTTGAATAAATAAATAGCAAAGCAACAGCTGAATAAAATAGAAGGTCCAAGCTTTTAAAATTATCCATTTGGGACCGGTCATTTATGGGAAATTGCTGGCTGTCCAGTGAAGCAGTGTCTTGGGAGGCTGTAAGAATGGTGATACATCTCATAGTATTCAGCAAACTGCTCCCAAATGGGTCTAGAAGTCAGATAGTCTGCCACATACATTCCTGTTTTCTTGGCACTGACATAATACATGTAGACTGTTACCAGTCAAGGAAATCACATTAGAAATGCAAAGATGCAGAATTTCAATACCTCGTATTTTTGTCATACTCCAAAAGACATCTGTTAAGGTGTATGTGAGTTTTGCCTACGTGATTAGAAGCCTAAATAATTGAGGACCATTTTTTCATAATTGTAGCTGTGTTTCCCTCAGTTTTACATTCTTGGTTTTATTTTTGTTTGTGAAATAGTAGTGTGCAATTAATATGTGCAGTAAACAATGTGGGGCAAACTTTAGAGTTATTAGTCTTTATTTAGGTAAAACTGTCATTGAAAGCAATGGCAATTTTGTCTCACAAAAGACCATGAAATGCAGTTCTGGAGCATAATTATTATTGTTTCCTTTCTTCATACTGGAACATTTCTTGATGCTGTAACGTTTTCAGGATAAATGTGCTATAGAATATGTTCATTTTCTACCACATTTCAAAAATACTTTGGTCAGGTGGATTTCATCTACAGTAACATAATAAGGACATTGACTGAGCTGTAAAAATACAAGTACTGTAATTTCAGTAGGAAGATCTCTGTGAAGTATGAGTCCCCTTTTTTTTTTTTTTTTTTTCCTAAGGAAATATGTAGTCTGCAATGTTACCAGATTTGATCTATGAAACTGATGGAGAACAAACAGCAGTTACAATTTGAGGGAGAAAAAGGCAGTAAAATGGAACAAGCTAAGGCACATCAAGTCATTACCAAAACTAGTGACACATTTTAACCTCTTTTTAGTCAAATTTCAGTTCAAAGGCTTTCATTTCAACATGCATTTTCATCACCTCGGTTACAGTTAACTACCATTATCATTAAACATCATGGGAAAGTAACATCTAAAATGACAAACAGAGCATCTGCTTATTATTACAGTACCATTTCAATATGAAAATAATCAATAATGCAAAATAACATATAGAAATTATAAAACTTGTGGAAATTAATTTATAGTTCAGCACTGTGATATCTGTAGGAAGACCAGATAAGGTTTACATAGCAGCAAACCTTACTTGTAGGTCTTACAATTAGGCAGTTTCTTGAGAAAAACGAGTGAAGCCAGATCTTTCCATGTTGTTATGATTGGAGAGAATCAGAGGAATGAAATCATCTTACATCTAGTCACCAAAAGCCTACGGGCTCAACAAAATTGTTAGTTTTGGTTCTCTGAGGCACAACAGAAAATATAAAAAGCAACAGCTTTGAAACTACTGTAGCAAATGTAAACAGCAGGCATCTGTAATTTTTTTTAAGGCAAATTGTTGCTTTGGGTTTAATCACAGTGCATCTCTGGCCCTTGTGGAACTCAGTTATGTAATCAAAGAGGTCATATAGTTGCATGGTAACTGAAACACTGAGATTCTGACTATGTTAATTTAGTGTCAGCCTGTATTAGTTATTTTGTTTTTCTACAGGGATACTGTAATTGGCACCCTTTTAAACTTTATTCCAACTTTGTTTAAATTCTGTTGTTATGGAATGTTTATCCTGCTGTGTTGTTTGGGGTTTTTTTTTAAACAATATTCCATATATTGAAGTGGTCAAAGAGAAGTCTCTTTGCTATATATATTGTACACACTCACAAACACCTAATTAGTTTTAACCTGGAAGAATACATTAGGGTGCTGCAGACAAAGAATGAGATTCTGATATTAGTTGTATGAGTATACATTTTGAGTTAAAAACTTACAGCAATTAAATAACTTCAGTCCATGCTTCCACTAGCTTTCAAATGAGGGGGAGGCAAATAAAATGAACATATGGAAAACCCTGGGCTTTCTAACACATTTGATTCAGGTTTCTACTGCATGATGAGTCGGAAGAAAATCAGCAATCTAAACAAAAGAGCATGTCATAGTTTGGAATTTTTCCCTGTTTGGAAAAAAAAAAAAAAAAAAAGATAGAGGGGGGGAAAAAAGGCACACTACAATCCCCACTGAATTTCCCATACCTCTGAAAGTTCTGCTTTGATACTTGTAACATTCATGTTAAAATGACAATAGAGTTGTTCTTAAAAACAGAACTAAATGTTTCTGAATACTGGATGTAAGTTCCTGGGTAATTTAATCAAACTGTCTATATAAATGAAGCCAGTGGACTATGGATGTAAAGACAGAGGTTGAAAACAATTTTTGAGGTTTGGTCATCTTAAAAGCACAAGGAAAGAAATGAGAAATAGATTGAGATTTCTAGAAAGAATACTGGTTTAAAAATATAAGAGCTGTATATAAAACCATTTTGTATAAAGAAACGCACAATAAATAATTCTCTGTCTTCACATTCTGAAATGCTGAAGCCGGCCTTACAAACAAACCAGTGTGACTTTTCTTGTGCAGTTGTACACATGCACTGTTGAGATTTGGGCTAAAGATGCATTAGAATGTGTTCATTTTACTACTGTTTGATTTTGGAGGACATTTTCCGAAAATTCTGATTGCCAAGCTGTGTGTTTATATGAAATTAGTAACTGAAGACTAAATGAAGAGATTTCATAGTAACAAATATTATTCTCAGTTTCAGAATACAGTATAATATTAGAAACCAGTAATGTTTAATATGAACAGTGGAATTATCAAAAAACTGCCTTCCAAGTTGTAGTAAGCAAAAGCAGTAGTTATTTTTCTGTCACACTGAAGAGTATTTTTTGTTGTCTTTGATCTCTAAGAAATGGTTGCTCTATTCAGTATCACCAGGGACTAGATAAAGCTGAGAACTATGCCAATACTCTGCGACAGGATGCTATATAAATGTCCTATAACGGTACATAGATTTTTAATGTTCCTGTTTTATTGCAACAGAAGATATTTCAATTAAAATACCAGTATTTCAGTGAAAAAGAAGTAGCTGAAGAACAAGTAGTGAAAAACAAGTTGATACCTTCAGGGGACTCACTGGGCAAGGAGAGCAACAGCCTGGATCAAGGAGCCCAGGTCAGGCCTCGCTGTGTGCATCTTGTGCTCAGCAAGCAGCCAGAGAGCAGCAGATGAATTGTACTTAGGAAGTTCATAAATGCAGCACATCCCAGTTGCATCAGACTCATTTTCTGTGCAGTGTAGGAAAATCTGCCTACATATAATGAGTCCAGGGTGTCTGAAATGAATCAGATCTATAATGTATATTAAAAAAATCATCTCTATATACAAAGTAGGCCGAATTTGAACATGCATATTTGCCATTTTTCTGGATGTTTCAGCTATTGGGAAACTTCTAGAGACAGCTGCTGCTACGGTCCTGACCAGGCTGCTGTATTTAAACTTTCCAGACAAACTATCATAGTCCACGAGTTGTTATGTAAATAAATTATAAGGCACTACTCATGAGTTTTATGATCTAGTATCACTAGAAATAGAATTGGTAAATCTGAATTATATAAAAATTGCCAACATCAGCGACAGGAGGCTGGCATAATAGATCTATCAACATCTATCTAATTTTCTGCTGAATGTGTCACTGAATTTAATAGAGGTAATATTTTTCTTTAAGTTAATTATAATGCCAATTATTAGGAAAATGTACAGCATCATTCATGGTGAACACTGTAATGATGCTTTACAAATTCATAAATAAATTATGCTTAATGAGAAATGGCCCAGAGACAGGAGCTCTAATGTGTATTCAGTGTTCTTCTGCTAGGGGTATTAGTTGATTCTGTGATACAGGTGAGGTCAACTGTGAGGTCTGTCCGAACCTCACTCCTCCAGAGCTGTGGGTAGCATGGTTTTGGAGCTGTGCTTCAGAACTGCATGCGCATGTAAGAATCCCTGTTCTCGTCAATAGAAGCAGCAACCCTCAAGAAATAATGAGACAGTTGCTTGATGATGTATTGACATGTTACAGAACAGTTGGTGTTAGGAAATAAACACTGCTCTCTCCAATGTTGGAAGTTGAATAGGATGTTTAGTGTGCATGTAATTACTGGAACTGAAATTTCGCCAGAATACTGAGACTGACACTAAAATTATTACAGGATCAAAAGGCTCAGACTTAAGTGATTTACTATCACAAGGCATACATAAACTGATTCACTCTGATTGTCCATCTGCATGCTTCTAGCCTGGAGCAAACGTGATGTACCTGGAGTTAAATTAGCCTATTGTCACTACAGCCAGAGCCACACCTAGTACCTCTACTGTGGCTGAGAGCTGATGCTCAGTAAGTTGGTAACACACAGTAACTTGATCATGTTTCTAAGGTTTCACTCTTTGAACTCATCTGAAAGCTTGCAGGATGAGATCTAAAAGTAAAATTACATTAGGTGAGTTCATCTTATTTTATATAAGGAACATTGGCTAGAGTAATCAGAAAGTGTTTATCCCAGGGAAAGTTTCTGGTAGGTATCTGGGTAGTGCCAACAGCATAACAAGCTGCCATCTTGACCGTGATCTCCAGATATTACTAGAATAACTATTTACAGGAACACTAATTTTCAAAGTAGAATGTGTCTGTAAATAAAGGCAGATAGCCTTCTCCCACAAACACTGCTTTGATTCCTGATGAAGGGAAGCTTATGTTCTTCCTTATTCAAGGAAAATTCTTATGTAGGGAGCATAATGTTGTATAGAAGGTAGCAGTTAGAAGACAGTAAACTGATTCTCTTATAGTAATGAATACAAATATCCAACATTCATTGCACAGTCTGACATAAGGCAGATTGGTATAATCTCATACCATTATCGGATAAATTGCAACCCAGGCACAGTACAAGGGTGTTGCCCTAAGTAAGTAACAGAAGAAATCCTGGCACAGACTGTGCTGGTCCACCACTGTTCCCCATACCAGGTGCTGGGGACAGGCAATGGCCCCATTGTGAAGCTCACGCTGGCATGTGTTTATTCATTGAGTTCTGTTATTGAAAGCAGAGGCACTACGTTTTGCTTCACAAAGTGTCAGTAACTGTGCTGCCCCAAATATGGACCTCTCCCAGGATGTAGCATGATCTCAAAGTAGACTTTTTATATAAAGAAGCAAGAAGATCTAAGCATGTAAATATCGGGGATTTCTCAGTGAGATAGATATATATGTGTGTATGTATACCTCTTTATATTTTTTCAATTAGTTTTCTGATTTCAGAAAATAAACTTGTCTAGTTCATTCCTGTTTACTAAAGGATAGTGCATAACTATTAAAAAAAAAAAAAAAAAGAGTATGTAAAACCTGTCTAAATAGTCTTTACAAAATGTGCTAGGAAAGTTACAGTGGAAACTTCAAACAAACAAATAATTTTGAGAAAACTTTAATTCAAGGAAAATCCCTCTCTGGTTATTTTTGTAGGCTGTTGATGGTTATCACTAAATTGGTTGAAGTACAAAAAAAGAAAAAGAAAAATTATCTGTACCATACAGACAGTAGGTCATATTCAGAACAAGTATAATTCCACTGAAGTTATTAACCAAGCTACTTTAGGCCAGATGAGGTCCTTTTTCTATAGCTGTAGATATCCTCTGCCTTTTCTGTTCAACTTTACAGACACGTGAGCAAATGCTGTTCTGCTGGGGTTTGTAAATGTGTCATTGATGGCATAACCTGAAGTCTGTTGCACAACTGAAACCTGAAGTTTCAAGTAGCCTGTAAAATCTGAAATTTCAAGTAGCCTGTAAATTATTTCGTAGTTTTCTGTTCCTTACATGTTAAGTACCCTGTGTAGGTTTTAATGTGGCTAACCAATAACTGAATGCACAGATTTTTACTTCTAAAATATAGGCAAAAATGTGCAACTTTTTTGTTCTTCACAAGTGCAGATTGTTCCATGCTGCTTTTATAATTGTGCTAATTAATTTGTTTCAAAGATAGACCAGTCTAACCATAGTACTTTCTAAAGCTGAACCAAATCCAAATTCCTAAAGAATTTGAGGTAATTTATTAAAAAGTAATTTCAGGAATTAAAGATTATATTGTTAAGTTTAATATGCAATACTGGAATGCAAAGGATTATTACTCATTATCTTGAAAACACCGAGCAAAATTATCCTGGGAATTTTGCCAAAGTTGGATTCAGCCCATTATCATTAACATTCATACTTCAATTTTAAAGCAACATTAGCTAGCCCCCAAAATATACTTCCGTGTTGACTTTTACCTTGCAACTCTTCCCCGAAGATCTCCTAAACCAGAAAGCTGCCGCATTTCCAGACTCTTCAGGGTAGAATTTGTTCCATAGCTGAGATTGTCTCTGACACGTATCTGTTCCTGCAGCATCTATAAAGCATTCATATGCAAATATAAACTCAGTATGTCACATTTAATGTATACTTAAAATGTCACTCATTATTTTTCAGTATTTCAGTAACATCAGACACCATTTTATTATTACTTTGTTAAAAGCTTTGTCTTGTACCATAGTAAACCGGATACCTTTTTAGGTCACTTATTATTTCTTATTCTTATTGTCCAGTCGGCACATAAGCACCATAATATGTGTAAAGTTTAACTTGACAATGGAATGGAGACTTAAATATTATTTTTTATCCTTTTGTTTTCCCCACCACACCCCTGCTGCTCATTGTAGCAGAGGTCAGACATGAAGTCACATATCTGCATATGATTAGGTCATAAAAATGAGCAGTTGGGTTTGGCTACTTGGTGTCGTCAGTTAGTCAGAAGTGAAAGTTTATTATAGAGCTAAGGCATTTCCTAGTGTTTACACAGCACAGCCTTTGGACTGAGGTTGAGCTGGGTATTAGTGTTGCATTAATTCATTTTTTCAAGGTTTTCCAGTGCAGCTTTTGAAAGCAAGCTTGTTAGTACTACAGAGGTTTCTGTGTTTATATGCTAATATCCTGTGCTATTTTCATAGCCATTGAAAGAATTATGTAATTTGCAAACAGTTTTTCAAGTTATAAAAACAAATCGTAAGCTTAGACGATCTTCAGACCTTGTCTGACCTTTACTTATCCTGTGGTAAACTTTCATATTAAATTAGAAGGAATAAGTAGCTGGGATGGCATTAGTCCTGTGATGAATTCTTAACATACCTCAATGTCCCGATTAAGCTGCCTCACTATTGCCGTTATGTTTCGGATATGTTCTTCCAAGAGTTGCCTAGCCAACCGGTCACCCCCCCCTTTGTTCTGCATTCTGTGCAGAGTGGAAACAATGTCCTCCTTAATGCGAAAAGCGTGTTCCACAAGAGCCGCCGTTGTTTTCTCATGGCTTAGGATTCTGTCTTCCAGCTGATCCACCAGGCTTGCAGATGCCAGTGGGACCGCGGTCAGGGCCTGGCTGTGCAGTGGTATGTTTCGAACCCGTCTGGTGAAGAAGAATGTCCAGATATTGTTAAGTTCTCACACAAAACTCTGCAATGTCTTTCTACCGGAGGCAGTGTGATACTATCTTAGTAGTAATACTGGGGATAAACACCAAAATACTCACAGGGAGAGGGCCCACTGCTACAAATAAATGAGTGCTGTGTTGGCTACTGTGCGTATCTTGTACAAAAGCAGGTCAGCTCTTTTTTTCCTGCTCTTTGAGGAAGCTTACAAAAAGCATAGGATCTTAAGAAAAGTAGATTAGCATTGTGAAAGTGGTTACAATTCAGATCTGTAATTTGATTAAGAATCCAAATTCAAAACCCTTTTATTGAGTTTCACAAGTAATGCCATTTGTCTCTACAATTTTCAGGCTTAATCAAAGCAGTTAACTGTAGAAGGTAGATATTGCAAATTAAATGGAAACAGTGAAAGATTAAAAAGAAGTAGCTTGTGTCCATTCCTTTTTTCAGTCTCTACAGCTATCCTGCAATATTACACAGAAGCTTGTTCCCCCGTGAGCTGGACAGGAGCATATGCAGGTGCAGAAACTGGGGAGACACCAAAATCATGACAAACCTTTCTTAGTCTTGGAAGTAAAATTTCCCCACAAATTGCTTGGTTTTCAGTACCTCAAATAATTGTCCAGATTTTTCAAGAGAGGTATGCACTACGTAGCTTCCATGGAAAGCAACGGAGCTCATGGATGCTCAAATTAAAAAAATTAGGCTGCTAATGCACACAATGTTTTCCTACCACTATATTCTGTAAAGAATAAAGAAAGTTTTCAGAAGCATGTGGAAGATAGGAGTTCAACTGCACTTTGAAAGAGGAGATCTTTCTCTTGGAATTCTGTTATTTACTATGTATTCTCCATGTTGTTTCCTGTTAATGAGCCAAATTAACATTTACTTTCACCATGATGATGTGACTGTGACTCCAGCCAAGGTCACTTCTGGCCCTGAGTTTTCACATTTACTCCATGCTATTAGAAGACTGGCTAAAGTATAGTATTCTTGGACTTCTATTCATTTACAATTTAAGCTATTTAATTTCTTTGGGAAAGGGTTAAGTAAAAGCTGAGTAAGGAATCGTAATTTGGGACGTAATTTGAATGAGTCTACAGTATTTCACTTTGCTTTGCATACTAATGCCAAAGTCCCAAGTCACAGCTTTACTATATATGGGGAATTGAGACACATAATGCTCTGCAACAGGAAGATTTTATTTTTTACATTCCAAACTGTACCTTTCAGAAGGGGCAAGAGTTGGGAAGATTGGGCTTCGCTGGGCCATTTTCTGGTCAATAATTTATGTCTGTTGAAAAAGTACACATTGAATTATTTAATAGTTTATATCTGGCACTGAAATGACTTAATGCTTCTGCTTGAAGTGAACCTTTAAGTAAAGTTTAAGATTACGCTGACAGCTCTGATCTTGGAGTTCAGATATTACTTATGGAATAAATGCAAATAAAAATAGATACAAAAGAATGAAAACTAAAAACTGCTAAAAAGCTTTTTATAGTGAAAACTATACTCTTGAAAAAGGCAAGGTTGGCAACATTGAAACTGAAATCTGGTATTGACCCACAGAACTGGTTTGGCAGGATGGTGGCAAACAAACTTCTTGTCCCCAATCTGTCTACTGGTCTCAAACATCATCAATCAATGAAGAAAAAAGTAAGATCTACAGGATTATCATAAAGTTTAAGAGAATATTGGTTTGAGAATGAAATAAAAATATTTCACAGCAGCAGATTATTAGGAGTAAAGTGTTTTTCAGGTAAAAGCATTGGCAGTCAGAAACCTAAATAAAATGTGTTAGACATAAGCATAGTTTAGCAAAATTGAGTCTTTTATTAATTTATCTTCAAATCTAAATGACCACACTTTATATTGTAAGTAAATTATTCTGTGGTAAGAATATAGATTCTGTTTTTAATTTTTAGATATAGCCAGCCAGACTGTGGCAGACGTTGCAGCAGGGTCAGTCTGTTAACTAGCTCCAGAAAGACGTTTTAGATATCTTACTGTGAGACCAGTACCTGGCTCAGTAGCTTTGTCCACTGACAGAAATTAAATTAATGAAAAAGATGGTAGCCTCCATCAAATCCAACTGTTCCACCCTATATGAAACAAATAAACATTTTTAACTATAAAGAGAGTGAGCATGGCCTGAGCCTGAATTCCTTGGGAACCTAAACTCCTTGCTGAAAACTAAAGGCTGGTGTATGAAAAGAATTTTGCAGTTGCTGATGAAATCCGGTGCAATATGCTGTAAAAACAGAAAAACAGGGTTATTGAAACAAAATAGTCAAATATTGATTGTAAAGAAGTGATAGGACTAGCCTCTGAGATGTCAAAATGCAAAGCATGTTTGTGCTTTAGAAATGTATGAAAGCACTGCCTAAAAGCAGAGAGCAAACATTGTCACAGTGTGTGTGTTCTATTTATAGCACGGTGCTTCAGAAACTACAAATTAGAAAAAAAAAATAGTTTTAAGAGAAGCTGGGTTGCTGAGCAGCAATGACACTAGACTGGAATTCAGAAGGTCTGATTTTAATTCATTGCTCAATCTCTGATCCTGATGACGTTGGACAAGTTATTTCCATGTCTAATGATTCAATTTCCCTATACGGAAGACAGAGATAATGATACCTACCTCCTTGTTTAAGTTCTTACATGCCTTTAAGTAAAAAGCACAGAATAAGAGCTGGGTATCATTATGACGACTTTGCATTCAGAATCCTGTGCAGACACTGAATGTCCAGTCCTGCAACCTGTTCCTCCAACTCGTAGTTTCCTGGTTGGTTTTTTTTAAACAATGGCACCGCTCTGTGGGGTGTCCCTCCTAGCTGTGCCATGAGGTTATTCAGTAACGGGGCACCCCATTCTCAGGAGATCTGAGCTCATTTACTTGTAGTCCTCCAGGCAGTAACACATTTTAATGATCTTGATGCAGTGAAGCATTTAAACACAGTTTAACTATAAACACAAGAATATCCCACTGATTTAAGAAGAGCTATGTGTATCACAGCAGCGAAGCACTGGATGCTACCTAGAAAAATTAAGAAGAAATATTAAAATCTGTACAGCTACCAGTATCTTGGTGAAATACACCTTATAAAAGAACAGCCAGACAAACAAACAAAAAAGCTCAAGTCAAATGTTTTAATCTTACAGCCTTGAGTATCCATTTATTGATTGAAAAAAAATGTTTGTAGCAGAGTAAGCGTAGGATTGCTTGAAGCTTTTACTTTTTCTGCCAGACTGCCATTAGACATGCAGCTAAATGCAAATGTCTGGAGAAATTGTGCACGTGAAACAAAAGATACACAGATGGACTTCTCATTCATTCGTTACTGCTAACTTGGGCACATCACAGTACACAGTGAAATATCTCATTATCAATTATCAGATTTATTGATCTGATCCAACATCCAGAAAGGATGTGTTAAGATCTTTTTCAGCAGTTGTACAAAACTTTTCTGCAGTTTGGAGGTATTTGTAGTAAATGATAACAGATAAGCAACAGAACTAATAACAAATTTCCTCTCTATGCATGTGTGTAATACCAACTTAGACAAATAAAGATAAAAGAAAAAGATGTTCTGATGCCTAGATTTAGAGGAGTGAAATTTCACATAGTTACAATTTCAATGGCAGTAAACTGGGATCAACTTAGATACGAGTTGAAATACTGGCTTCGGGTGCTTAATTTTATTTTTTTAATATTATGTTGTCTCCTGCTTGATACTGCTATAGCAATTTAAATCATGATATATTAACCCAGTAAATTCTAGTTGATTTAATTTACTGAATCTTCCAAATGTACTTGTCACGTGGACGAGATACAGATTTTTCCCAGGTGTAAATGGTATGCCTGATTGCTGAAAATAACAGTTACTTGATACGTAAAGCGGGTTTTCCATGCAAACACGGGGTACTTCTTTATCGTGTAAGTCACTGACATCAGACATGTAAAAGCTTGACAAAAAAATCATACATGGGACATGCTGAAGAAACACTTTTAGCAACACAAAGTTCATTCCTTGCTATTGGTACTGTGGCATCCCTTCCCCACTCCAGCAGACTGCCTCGCGTGTTTACTTTCTGCGGGTTCTCCGTTTCTCCTGTTCTGAAGGATAATCACATCTGTAGTGTTCAGTTCTCCATCTTCCTTTGTAACCTATGTCTAATACTTGCTGTAATGTCTGTGCATCCTCGGAGTGTTTTTCATGTTCATTCTCACAATATGCCTGTGGGGTAGGAAAGCAGCATTATCCCTGAAAATATTATTTTCCTTCTGGTGCTGGTAGGGAAGTGAGGCACGGAGGGGGGCTGTGACTTGTCACATGGGAATCAAAGGAGACTGAAAGACCTGCCTAGGCAAACACTTCAATCGCTCTTTCCTTCTTAAAATAGAAACCGCTTTGGTTGCTCTCCAGGGAGCCGCGAGAGCCCGGTCCTACTCTCAAGCGCTTTGGGGCAACGTTTTGGAGTAAGTGGAAAAGTCCCCCTGTCGCGACTCACCAGAAAGATGGGTCAGAGCCCACTCGTGTCAGTGAGTCACGCGGAACAAGCCCTCGCAAAGCCCCTCCGCACTGCCATGACGTGTTGCGAGGGTGTACGCGGAGAGCGGTGGCGTGCGGGAAGGAGGCGAGAGGTCACCGCGCGGGCGTGGCCCTGAGCGCAGGCTAAGGGGCCTCTGGGAGCAGGTCTGGGTGTGGGCTGTGCTGGGGCCGCTGCGCAGCATTTGGGTTCCGAGCTGGAATCTG